GGTAGGTAGGTAGGTGTAGGTAGTAGGTGTGTAGTGTGTGTAGTGTGTGTGTGTGTGTGTGTGTGTGTGTGTGTGTGTGTGTGTGTGTGTGTGTGTGTGTGTGTGTGTGTGTGTGTGTGTGTGTGTGTGTGTGTATGTATTGCACTTTCATTGCTGAGTGTCCCGCTGATAAGGTGGACCTCTGGCCCCGGTGAGGTGAGGTTTAATGTCCACGAGAGATCGTCCGAGCGCTTCACTGTCTCTTCCTCTCCTCGGGTCAGAGGCTTCAGATGTGATCGAAACAAACACAATCTCACAAACCACATTAAGAGTAGAAAATGAAACTAGAATAATATAATATTACAAAGACTACAATCCCCTGCTTCACAACTCTGCTCCCTTTCGATCAACAAACCCGCCCCTTCCCATTAATAGATTAATAACTATAATATGTGACAGAGTCCTTCATCCTCTGCACAGTGGCACCTTTAGAATAGAATATTTTTTTTTACTAATAATACAATTATTTGTTGTTGATATCAGAGTATCAAAGCTGTATGGCGGTAAGAAGAGATAGAGGGGTCTCAAAAAGCACCCTGCGCTCTATTGGAGTAAACACAGCACAGGCTTACGGGCCCACACCCTTGTAAGGCGTCTTAAATGTAGCAGTCCAGTTTCCCTACGGAGGATAGAGTCAGGGTGCCGTTTGAGACTTGATTATAGATAGAGCGAATGTAAGCACTGGAAGCGGATGGATATGGCATGCATGGTTTTGAAAGGTCAATGCTGACATGGCTCATGGATGCGGGTCTGAACTATGACCCCCCTCAGGATCCGAGGGGCCCTCGATGTGCTGAGCTACATGGCTACTACTGCTGAGTCAGTATACTGCAGGAAATCCTATGGAAAATAGCGTAAATTAGCTAAAGCTAACCTGGAGGCCAAGATATACAGGAAACACTTTGAGTAATATTTGGCACCAAGTATGATTAACAATATGTTGCTAATATATGTTTCATCCTTAAGCTAACTCTTAATTAAACCTACCATCTGCTTAAGGCAATATTTCTAATTACTTTCAGAGAGTTACCCATCTAACCTAAAGTTAGCCAAAAAAGCAGCTAAATGCTAACCTGTAGCTAACATATTTTTCTCTCCGCTTCTCTCTAGCTTCAAGTGTGTTATGTCGTTAGTTAGCTATTCAGCTGGTTTAAAACGCTTGTTCCTGTGCAAATGTACTTTGCCTCTCCTTCAACATAACACCCTCAAACGACGCAGCTGCAGCGCTGAGCATAAAAAGCCCTTGTGTGCTCCTGTCCTTTAAAAATTAAAAGCCCTTGCTTGGAAGAAAGTATTTTTTCCTCTTTCACAGCCCATAACAACTGCTGATATTATAGTTAGCTTGCAAAATTAATATATACATGTAACGGACAGCAAGAGCGAGTCAGTGTTGATGCACGTTTGTCCCTTATAGGCTCCCTCTATGGCGTTAAAAGACAGCGGGTAAAACAGCAGCGTCATAAATTAAACAGTATGACTGAGATTGAAAACATCTTTTATTTTCAGGGTAATAACTCTCAAAGTGGTGGCGTGACGGCTTCAGTTTGGTGATGTTTCATGATTGGTTTGTACAAAACAGTGCAATGGTGGTTTAGGGAGGTATAAAGAAGAAAAACAAAAATGCATTTTTTCACACTCACTTTTTTTTGTAACTCACAGCCCCAGAAAAAAGTTTGACAAAAATGCTGTTTACATTTAACTAGCTACTCATGCCCTCTCTCCACAACTGTCCCTGCAGCACTTTCCCTTTCTTTATGGCTGTGTTGTCTCCTCCTCTTGTATCTGTGTGTGTGTGTGTGTGTGTGTGTGTGTGTGTGTGTGTGTGTGTGTGTGTGTGTGTGTGTGTGTGTGTGTGTGTGTGTGTGTGTGTGTGTGTGTGTGTGTTTTGTGTGTGTGTGTGTGTGTGTGTGTGTGTGTGTGTGTGTGTGTGTGTGTGTGTGTGTGTGTGTGTGTGTGTGTGTGTGTGTGTGTGTGTGTGTGTGTGTGTGTAATCAGGTGTGGTTCAGTGATGTGATAAGAGCTTTAATGTGTAATATTTTTATTAAATCTGTAAAAAACTGTGGCAAGTATTTGATTTTGTGTCGTTGTTCATGTTGCAGGACTACTAATTCTAGGTGATAGATCACCAATTATTGGCCAATGCATTGGAGAATTGACTGTGTGCTAATAAGGGGTGTTGCAATACTGATACATATGCAAATCACACATATCATTTTGTGTAAAAAAACCCGTTCATTTATATCACATTAATGTTGTTATTGTACACCAACACAATATGGTTTTAAAGGCACAAAAGTACTCTAGTATGTTTAATTGGAAAACGGGTGATCAGTTCCCAGTCAAAATGCCTTTTTATAGAGATTTAATTAATTAATGATATCTTTTAGTCTTTTTTTTCGAATCCCTGCTTGGTTTCAATTTGAAATGGTGCCAACACAGTTTACAGAGAGTGCACAAACTGTTATATGTCCGAGAGAGAGCAATAAATGTCATAAGTATTGACGTTTCTCTAAAATCTGTCACAGTAAAAACTGTAAAGGTGTTTGAAATATGACAGTCCCAGCCAGAAGACGTGTGTGTGTGTGTTTGTGTGTGTAGGCTTGTGTGTGTTTGCAGTGTGCACATGTAAGCGAGATAAAGAGGAGGAGAGGCTGTGAGTGACAGCTGAATGGATGGAGCACAAATCCTCTGAATAATACATGAGACTTCTGCCAATTCCATCTATTTATCTTTAAATTGTGCGCCACATATAAATTCATTTTCTGCAGATCCTCCATTGGAGAAGAGAGAGATGTGTGTACTTTAGTATTTTCTCAGTGCTTATTCCTGCAGCTTACATCTTTGACAATTGTTCCGGCAAGAACAGACAACTTTATATTAAACTCATCGGTAAGATATTCACCAAGAGGTAGTGGGCAAACAAAAAAGAAAAAGTTTCCGTCTGTTTGTTTTAATGTCTTTTTGGCTCTGCCTTAAAGCATTTTCACAGCTCAGCGGTCTCCTCTCCACAGTACCCTGAACCAACAACCTCCCTGACTAAACTACGAGCGACACCAACAGAAGACGGAACCTAAAGAGGGAGGAGGAAGGGTGAGAGGAGGTGTGCGAAAAGGGTGGCAGTGAGGTGAGTAATGGGGCTACACAGGAAAATGTGGAAGGTGGAAGGTGAAACGGGAAGGCGGACAGACAAATATTTGATCATGTCTTTAAGATTTAGGTGAAAAAATAAATTAAGAGATGGGGTAAAAGGAAGCACCAATGATCTTACGTTACCATCTAAAAGAGATTCATTAGTTTTCGGACATTTCCCCCCCCAAACAGCTGTTTCCCTTCATCAAAAACTAAGAGAAATGGGGGTCAATGTTACCAGGATTGAGCTCAATTCAACTTCAGTTCAGCCGGTAATGAAGTGAGCTTTTCCATCAATCAATATGAAAGGAGGATATATACAATATGTATAGAAAATAATAACTAGTGCCACAAATGTGCTGCCATAAATGGACAAACTGCATCTTCAATTACTGTTTTGAGTCCGGGCTGAACTGAAAATGAACGGATCCCGACCCTGAGGTGTTAACTTCTGCACTTTTAAATAGTACCGGTAAATCAGAGAGACAGCTCGGAGCTCTAAGGCTGTTCCCTGAACTCATCCCACTGCTTTAGTTCACATTATTTTTTTGGAGAAGTTGCCCCAAACCACTTCCGATAAGCTTATTATTAAACCTCCCAGTTTCCCCCTTTTTGAAAAAAGCCAGAAAGTCAATTTATGAACATGAACATAAATTGAATGGGCCTTCATATGTTAAGGAGTTACAGGTAAAACTACAGTGATATGTGGCAGTCGGGAACAACTTCTCCGTCCAAAACCGACCCTGCTACACACAATGAAACTCTCACAGGGCTCAGGATTCACAGTTCAAAGGCTAAAAGTTCACAGTTCACAGTCAAAGTTTATCAAACCCCGCACCCACCCCGCGTAACCTAACCCTGTGTCCCCTGCGTTAGCTAGCACTCCCCCTGTATATCTCATCATCTTTCTCTTTGATACTCTGATTGGGCGATATATCAGCGACCGGCACCTCTCACACCGGCGTGGTCCTGCGGTTGGGGTCCTTGCTGTAGTCTTTAGTGAGCGTGCTGCTCTGGAGGAACTCCCGCTCTGAGTTGAGCAGCCCGCCCATCCCGCTGCCCGGTTTGGAGCCGGCGTTGCCTGCCTCGCGCGGGTTCAGCGTGTACATGGGCATCTCGGAGGCGGCGGGCCCCGTGTAGCCGCCCTTCCCCAGAGGTGAGGTGTCGCGGCTGGGGGCCTCGGAAGAGCGAACGCTGGAGCGACGCCGGAAGCGGTAGCGATAGGAAGGGATGCGGCTGAAGGTGGACTTTTTGATGAGCTCGGTGCGGGATTTGGCCCGTTGCTTGCGGTGCTTCTCGATGAACATGTGCACGGCAAGCACGCCCACCATCTCCGCCATGATGAAGGAGAGGGCGCCGAAGTAGAAGGACCAGCCGTAGGAGTAGGACTTTTTGCTGTCGCTCTGGCCCGGGTCACCCGAGTTTGCTGAAATGTAGACAATAATTCCTATGATGTTACTGAGACCTGGGAGGGAAGGACAGAAAGAGAAAAGAGATGGGAGTTAAAACGAGGTGAGAGTTACCTAGTCATCAAGATTACACGAAACAGCCTGAATGTCATAGATTGCAAAAGACAGAGGTTGGTTGGATTATTCAAACAAAGCGCAAATATTGTAGTTGTAGAGCTAAATGCTAACATCCGATGCACATTAGTATCACAATATTAGATGAGTGTGTTGGCAAGTAATCTCTAACATGTTGCAGGCATGTTGTCTACAGAAGCCCTGAGATGCAGGCAACAAAAAAAAACTTCTGTCAATCCATTTTTTTTAAAAGTCTGATCACAAATGTTTCCTTTCTGTGTTTATGATCAAATATTTTTTCAGGAGCTTTCTGAAGATTTTGCCGAGTGATTTGCAAAAGCGTTTCCACCCATTTGTTTTTAAATAGTAAACACATGAGATTAAACAATAACATCAGACTTAGAAAATAGATAACCAGTTTCTCCTTTGTTGGAAATTAATAATATTCATCCTGAGAGGGAAATGAATGCCTGCAACGATATTAATGCCAATTCATTGAATATCAAGGTGGTGTATCAGCTAAGACAGTTAAAGACACAACCAATTGTCAGGTAAAGTGAATACAAACTCGAGAAAAAGCTAAGACTTGAGCGTAATGAGAAAAGAGGACGACGTGCTACAGCCTCTGAGAGAGGGCTTGATGGAAACGCTGGAGAGTCATTGCACACAGCTGCGCTCCCTTATTCCATATCATTAGTCCAGAATACAGCGCTCATTCAGTGTGGTGGAACGCACAGAATGGGGACAATTAGCCGGCTGTAATTAAGCAGAATCAGCCCCGCACTATTGTGGTAAATAATTACCAATTTGGCTCCATGAATTCACTACAAAACCCAAAGGGACCCTACACATCCCACTGAACAGCAATTACTGTGCAACCCTTTGTACAGGGGCAACAGCTTAAGTGTGTGTGTGTGTGTTTGTGAGAGACCAAGTGTCAGCATGCATGTGACAAGTGTGTGTGTGTGAGTGTGAGCATGTGTGTGTGTTGACACTCTCACAGTGAATCACAGCGGCTTGTGGTATTCTTGCTGATTGATTAATCAGCTGCTGTGCCCAATCTCCACTCTGAGGCTCCTCACACAGGCACTTCTGTGAGCTTTAGATGCCTAACGGGCTCCTTCCACAAATATTTGAGTGCTGCACCTCCTCTGTTTAGAGTCCACAGTAACTGCCGCACTCACACACACACACACACACACACACACACACACACACACACACACACACACACACACACACACACACACACGCACTAATTGTGACCCCTCATTCCTCCGCGTGTTGTTTTCCCTGTCGAATGCTTTGACGCTGTGCTCGAGGCTTAGAGCGACTGGCCGAGTCTATAACTGATGGAGGCCCTGCCTGCACTGTCCAGCTTTTTGTGCTGAGCCCGACTTTTGATTGCTGTACAGGACGTTTTGGGTGGGGTTGTGGAGGGTGGGGTGGGGGGGACGTCCCACATCCAGCCCTCACATTCTACACTGGCCTGGGAAAGTCATGGACGAAATGCCCATGAGGGTGGAGAGCCTGTAATCCCACTACTCCTCCGGGGAATGATCGGCTTGTGTCGGCTATACTGGTGCTCACAGTGGGGGTGAAAATCCACAGCGATATCCTCACAGAGATTTCACTGGAGCTAATTTTGTCTCCTCTCTCTCTCTCTCTCTCTCTCTCTCTCTCTCTCTCTCTCTCTCTCTTTCTTCTGTCGCTTCAGTCATAACCAGAGGACCACGGCGTTTCGCCATCCTGTGAGCGGGCAGATCTCTGCGGAGAACATGGATTTCATCCTGCAGGAACAGTGAGTTATTACATTTTGTTCCCACTTATCTGCAGCCCATTACCTCAAATAACCTGTTGAAGAAGAGAACATATATATTTGATGTCCAATGCTTTGTGATACTTTGACTTTCTCCAGGTGGTTTGATATTCTCAATGCTAAAAATGGCCCCTTAAATTCTGTGTTTCCATCTCTGAGTTGAATGCTATGCTGTGACTTGGTTATTTTATCACTTCCTAAAAAGTGATGTTGCTGAAAATGAGGCAAATCTAAAAGGATTTAAGGAAAATGCTCTTCTGCCCTTGTAGTTGAATGTTTCATGAGTTTGTGTCTGAACTTCTTTTTCACTGTGACTTCTTACCCATGCCTTAAGCAATCATCTACATATTTCTTCTCAAGTTAAGCCAGTATACTTTATTCAGTGGGTATCCAGCAGCTTTAAAGAGAAAAGCGTCTAGTTTTCAGTCAGGACGTGGGCCTTTTATTTCCCTGCTTTTTAACCCTATCGTCTACCCCTTGACCTCTGTATGAAACGTCACAGGGTTAAGGGATAGTGGATAGGAGAATTCAAAAGGACTTAGGAGAAGAGACTGTGGTACTTTAGAGAATCCGACTGCACTTTCACTATCCGACGTGTTTATGATGCGCCAGCGGACTAGATAAATGTGCTTCTGCTGCTGTGGGGAAACTATGGAAACTACAGTTTCCTATACCGCGGACTACAACATGGATGTTTAATAAGAACGAGGGACTACTGTAAACTCATCTAGAGACTCTGCACCGTGCTCTGATGCTGTTGCTTTATGCTTTATGAACGTGGACAACAGAGAAACATATTCTTCATGACCAAGGTTGGAATTGAAATAAAAAGGAAAGTGAAACTTATGCTCATCACCCTCTCCCTCCGCTCCACATTAATACAAATGATCCCAATACGTATGATTGTATGAACTATGAAAAGATTCTTAAAATCAATATACAAATGTATTTATTATAAACGTTAGTCCTTAACATCTATCACTGTGTACATCACCATTCAAACATCTTTTAAAAGTTGAACAACCCCCATGATGAACGTTCAAAACAAAGCACTTTGGCAACTTACCACATACGTTTTAAAAAGCTTAACAAGCACTGTAACTTTCATGATATCATTTCTCGGTCACAATCGATTGTTTCTGTGAACGGCCGAATGTTGTCACAGCAAATGCTGCGGCCGCAAGGCATTGTGGGACACCACTTTCTCCTCTCCTTTCGGTTAGGGAGGTCCAGTGGTTCCTAAGCTAAAGAAGGTTATAAAGGAAGTTTGAAACCTCCTTTCCTATCATTCTAGAGAATTCGAACGGCACTTATCATGGCTGCCACTGAGGGACTTCCGGGTAATTTCACTCCGTTAGGAAGGTTCCTAAGCTAAATGGACTATTCGATCGCAACCCAAGAGTGTTTTTACTGTCTGGTGTTATAGTAGCGCTCGGTAAAGGCGTGATCTGCTTTCCTGTTTGGACCATTGGAGTTGGATAATGCTGCTGAATGTACTTCTTGTTGCATCCCGTTCTTTCTTAAAGTAAGATGAGAAAATTGATAATTGTAATCTGCAGTGAACCGCTTCAGCACGTGTATATTCACGGCATTAATTTTGTTATTCTACAATATTGTTGTTTTATAGTTATTTGTTAATGTAATTAACGCAATTTGTGTTCATTGAAATTGAAAAGGATATCGCATTGTGTTTGTTACTTTGGTTGCAGTTGTATAATGTCTTAAGTCTAATTTGGCTTGGCTTCCTATTTTGTATGGACATGCTTTTATTTTGAAGGAGAGTTAGCGCTGTTGACAGGAAGTTGTTATGTTATGGAAACAACATGATGGAGATTAACGGAGAAAAGTAATATATAAAGACGGAGAAAGTAAACAATAAAGTTTATGGTTAAGTGTTAGCACCCCCCGAAGAGGCACAAGCTCTTACGTTGATATTGGAGATTTCAATTAATAAAAAAATAATAATAAAAAAACGAATATCCGCATAACGAAATAGTACTCCAACGAACGAATATTCGGATATTCGGATATTGGGTACAGCCCTACGGACTATAACCCTTTATGTATCCCCAAGGGGACAATTTCGTGTTTAACTGTTATTATAAACTAGACAAGAAAGAGCAGAGAGGCTTCCAGGTGTCTGGTACAATTTCATTTATTTCAAAGAAGGTCAAAAACCCTGAGAAAGTTAAACTCCAGAAAAAAAGCAACAAAGAACAACTTGTTAGATCTGCTGGTTTTGTCTCGAGGCCTTGAACTTGACAGGTTTTGAGTTGTGTTATCTTCTCATCCGTCCCTGACAAGAAGGTGAATAAGTGTTTACTGGAGTGTGTTTTTGTGTCCTTGTGTGTTATGGCCAACTTTATCCCCGGAACAGGGACATGTTTGCACTTGTCAGCCACCGTAGCCTTCGATGTCTGCAGTTGGTAGATAATAACGACAATTTGTTTTTTAACCAGAAGGTTTTTCACTGCGAGTCCAAATTATTATTATTTTTTATTGAAATGAAGGTTTATCACTGGTGAGTGCAGATCTCTCTGGAACAAACACACTCATGCCTGTTTAGAGGTCATTGCACTCTAAAGGCTTTGTGTATGAAAGGTTTTCCTGCCAGAGACTAAACCCACACCAGACTTTCACCACAATGGAGACAATCTCTAAGGTCTCAGTTACAATAAAATGGTTTGTGATGCAGCACTGATGAATCTTTCATAGCAAAAGCTCCACAACAATCCAAAAGAGAAACAACACTATTCGGGAAGGTTTGCATAGGGATTTAGAATTTGAGTGTGTGTGTGTCCCTTTGTCAATCCTGTATGAAAAACAACATCTTGCTCCTGGCACTGTGCATCAGTTTTGGTGGAAGATAACAGTAATCATATTGCAGGGAAATGGTTGAAAGTGTTTCAATGGTTTCAGTTCTGCGGTCCACTTTCTGGATACAGCTCTGTTTATTCTAGCCCTTTTAGCAAGTCAAATGTACCTGCCGAAGCCCTCAGGTGGTGAATCTGAATGTCAGCTTGCAGAATACATCTGGGGGCAGCATGAAACTCTCAAACATCACACTTGAATTCATACCTTTGCAGCAGTCATGGTGATTTTTTTCGACATTTGACTTGCATGGCTGTGGAAATGGAAGGGTCAAAACGCTGGGGAAATGTGTCTATGATCCAAAAATGACAACAAGAAAACTGTATATTTTTCCTTCACCCTACCATTCAGAGCTCTAACATTTAGAGCCTTGCATATACTTTGTGTAACTTCAAGGCTCTAAATGGTGTTGCAAATGTTTAAATAGATTTTTTGTTGATATTTGACAAGAGGCTTCGTGGATCAGTCTAAGGCACATGTGTCAAACTCAAGGCCCGGGGGCCAAATCAGGCCCTTGGTGGATTTAATTTCGGCCCGCCGGTATATTGCACGCACACCTTCACTCAATCCTGAGGGTCTCCTCAGCTCAGAGCCTGAGCCCAAACATTGATGAACTTGCACCCAAGATGAGATGCCAAGTATCTGGCTTGAACTAGCATCACAGAGCAGAAAACTGACTTTCAACAGGGCATGTTTTTTTTTCTTTGAGGGAAATAGTTTTTTTGAAGCTGTTGTTGGCCTGTGGAAAAATGTAATCATAAGAAATGACTCTGGAAAAGCTGCAGATAGAGCCATAAGAAATGAATGCAACTGATTATTTAATGTTGTTTTTATAGGCAATCATTTAAGCTTTGTTAGTTCCAGGTTTAATATGTGCAATAAGTTCAGCAATAAACATTGAACCAGTCCGGCTCTCGACTAGTACCCATTTTTTAATGTTGGCCCACTGTGTATTTGAGTTTGACATCCCTGGTCTAAGGCTTTCGATGATACTAACAAACAATCAAAGCCTTTGGATCAAGATGCTGCCTTTAATACTTTCACCTGTTTATTTCCATTTCTTTAGAAAGTTTTCAGACTGTTTTTATCTTTGGTTTTAACTCCAGCCCCTAAATGTATATTGATAAATTGAATATATGTTATCTTTCAACTTCACTCCGACATGGCCATTTTTCATTTGACTATCTTATACCATTTGTTCAGTTTCAATGTGACATATGACAACATGCACAAGAGACACTTTTTCACACATTTAACAAAAAAAAACTCAAACAAAAGCACTCACAGTTTGGATCCAACATGGACATACATAAACATTTAACTAAATTGTATAAAATCAGAGCATGAAACAGGATCAAAACACTTACAATTCAAATAACTTATTCCTTATTATTTATTAGACCTTTAGCCAACAGCAACACTGACTGGTTTAAAGTTGTGACATGCAGATTAAATACAGAAAAACATATTTCACCATTTGTACATATTAAAAAATTAGTTAATTCACTCATCGGCTCCACCACAAATCAGGCTTCCTCAGGGTTACAGTTTCCTTTTGATCGCCTCAACATATTTAAATCCTTTCAAATTAACTTTGAAACTCCAAGAAGACAAACTTTTAGCATTTAATGAGTGCTTAAACATTGTTAATCCGACATTAATCCTTGCCCCTAGTATGAGGAAACTAATTGATACAGGAAAGTGTTTTTAATACTGAAGGATATTTGGTTAGCTTCTCTGTGTTTCTGTGCTTATGCCACTTAAGAATTTGAACTTGAATATATAATTTTCTCTTAGGCATTAAACATATTAATGTCAATGAGACTCTGAATGAATAACCCTAACAGTTGTTTTCTGGTATGTGTGCACACAGCTGGCAAACTTACTTTTAAAATAGCTCTTAACTCAAGAGGGTTAGGCTTTCAAGTGAGTCTCTTCTTCAACTTTCACTTCACCTCACGTCTGGATCTGAACCCCCCCGCTCCATAAGTGTGACTCTGTGAAGCTGAAGGACCTGAGATCAGTGAGTCCACCTCCTGGAGTTGAAAGCTTGATGTTCTCCTCTAGAGCTTCAGCTGGCAGATCTTTAAAGACCCTGCCCTGAGGTTCATTTCTAACTCGACTTAAATTAAAACTTGTCCTTCAGTGGAGAGAATCTTCCCATCCCAAATAAGAGTATGCTTATTTTAGAATATACAAATAACACTGATTCACATTTTATTATAATAATACATGACACTTATTTCGTGCTTTTCTAAAAACTCAAAGACCCTTTGACAGAGAATAAAACGAAGAACAAATACAATAAGAGATAAACAGAAAAGAGGGACAGGGCTCGACATTACAAATGGCCCTCTGGCCCGGAAGCACTATTTAGACCCCTCGGGCCAGCATAACGTACGTTCCACTTGCCCGCTCGGGCCACTAAAAATATTGCTTTAAAAAAAAAAAATGGTCCCGTGGTATTAGT